AAGCAGCTGCTGGTGAATTTCATAAACACCCAGCAGAGTCTTTCCTGGTTTTCCTCTCCCGGGGGGGTGGAGTGGGGGAGGGGGGGCTCTGCTCTGGTTGCTCTTTTGTGTGCTGCTGTCTTCCTCCAGGATGTAGGGAAGGGCGAGGGCATTCTTTGTCTTTGCCCCTGTGAAGTAAAGAGATGTGACTGTGAAGAAGAGTTCAAGCGGAAGCTGGGGTACAGGAGGAGAGTGTGTGGCATGCCTGGGGACGCACAGTGGCAGAGTAGAACCAGATCCCAGGGTTTTGCTTCTATCTCAAAGGACTAGAGTAGTAAGCGCCAAAAGCATGCTTGGTCTATCCCCGTGTCGGCAAACCGCGGCTCGCGAGCCACATGGGGATCTTTGGCCCCTTCAGTTTGGCTCTTCCACAAAATAACACGTGCCGTCTCGCACTTACAGTGCAATTGAAACTTCATGGCCCATGCGCAGAAGTAGTATTTTGTGGAAGAGCCAGTATTTTGTGGAAGAGCCACACTAAAGGGGCCAAAGATCCGCATGTGGCTCGAGGGCCACGGTTTGCCGAGCTACGGTTTGCCGACCAATGGTCCATGCCATGAATTTGTGAGATCTCTTTCTTCTCCAACAGGAGATATCACCACCTATTCCCCTTGGATTTATTCTACTCTGCCTAGGCACAGGGGCATGGATGAAATGGCCTCCCAGATCTTTTCTGGCCCTGCAAACGCCTAGCTCTTTGCCACCCCAGGCCCCACTCCCAGGTGGGCAGGGGTGCCAGGAATGTGGATGTGGGAGAGAGAAGGAAGCAAAGGCATAGATAAACGTTGACCCCCAGTAGAGGATAAAGTGTCTTTGGAGTATTCCACAGTTTGCAGCATCCTTTTAAAGTCTCCTTTGCATCCCCTTGCCGAGATGGATGAGATGGGTGATGAGGCAGAGACTCAGAAAGGGGAGTGCTATTCCTGCCGCTTGCTGGTTGGGCAAGTCACTTCCTCTCATCCACCTTTTCCCATTCTATGAAATACAGATGTTAATAACCTTACACGATCTTTGGATTGAGAATTCAGTGAATGAGAGATGTACCGTGCTTGGCACATGCAACACATTGATAGTATTGTATTATGTGTTAAGTACTAGGTTTAAGGATTTGCACTAAAAAGAGTTGGTCCTTGAAGAGCTTCATTAGAATACAGTAGCTTTCCAGGACTTAACCACAATTCACAATAAATACATTTTTACATCATAACCCAATGGAGATACCCACACATAACTAAAATATTTCACAAACTAAGACTTAGCTATCGTGTGTGATACACT